TTTGTTGATGGACAGTTGAGTTGATTCCAGTTTGGGGCAAATATGAATGAAGCTGCTATAAACATTCATGCAAGCCTTTCTGTGGACATATGTTTTCACTTATCTTGGGTAAACACCTAAGAGTGGAATTGCTGGGTCATAGGATAAAGGGCTGTTTAAGTTTATAAGCAACTGTGAAATCCACAGTACCAGTTTGAAGAAACATTGCTTAAGAGTGTAAGTTGGAAATCATAACAATGTCTTCTTCCTGTTCCACTTTCCTCAGAGACAAAAAAGGAGGAATAAAGAGGTGGGTGGGAGGAGAGGAAGCCAGAGTTTCAGGTTTAGTAGAGGAGGAGCTCTTCAAAAAGATTTAGCCTTCCTGGCACACAACTTCTTAATAATAACTTATAAAGTATTTTTATTTCTGAAATCTCTTGATCTTCACAGCAACACTATTACAGGATCGCTTGTTATAAATGAGAAAATGAAAGCTCAGAGAAGTCAGAATGACTTGCCCAGGGTCCCACGGGTAGTCGCTGTCTGAGCTGGGACCCAAACCCAGTCTTCAGGCAAGAAGTTTCTTGCCCTGAATCCTAGTTCAAACACTTCTTGGCATAGAACCTTGACAAATTCTTTAACCTTTCTGGACCTCAGTTTTCCTAACTCTACAGTGAGTCTAATAATAGTATATACTTTAGATATTGAGAGGTGTGATTAAGATAACAGTTCCATTATGTGCTTGGCATGTAGTAGGAGTACAGTAAACATTAGTTGAGTCTGAATCTAAGGTAGATAAGTGGGTCTGGGCTGAGAAAAGTGTTCGTGAACTAGCCAGTAATATACCTGGTATGATGGTGGCACATGTGAAAGACCCAGGAGGCACAATCATGTTCCCGCTCTTTGCTTTGTCCAGATTCCTAACTGGAAGGGAACTCAGCCAGGGACTCTTCTCCTCCTTCTGTCCTCCTCCCAGTATCTAAAAAGTTTGGCTTAATGAAATGTGGTCCTGCTTATGAAAAGGTTGGTGGCCTCTGCATGTCATACAAATGACTAACATAAAGAGGCAGAGAAAGATAGTAACCTAACACATTGCTTGCTGCAGGACCCTTTATGAAATAATTGCAGTTCTCTAAATCCTCCTCGGAGGTAGTGTGCGGTATCAGTTCCAGATATTTTAGGTCATCACTGTCTGAAAAATATGTTGCTGTACGCAGCCTCCATCCTCCTCGTCTCATGTTTCCATCTTGGTGAGGGGATTATCAGCAGCTCTTAGTCTGCTAACCAGACAGTTGCTGATAACTGTTTGTTGGGCTGAGTTTGGCCCCTGCCAACCACCTCTCTTCCTTTTTGCTAATGTCATTTCTTAGCCTGATCATAGTATGTTTATTTTATTCATAGTACCGTGAGCTCCAGAGGAACACCAAGTAGCCCAGCCTTGTTCTCTATATAGATTAGTTGTGTAGCCTGACATTTTACATACTTTTCAACCCCTCCTATAATAGGGAGGATCCATTTCAATAATAGTTTTGTTGTCAGAAATGTCATTGAGACATTATATTTCTTCCCACTTTGCCTTAAAGGGACATTTTCTACTTCTTGTGCTCCAGTCTCCCAACTTGAGCTTCAAAGCAGATAGCCCAAGATTCCTTGACCCTTTAAGCCCCAGCAAGGACCTTTCCTGGTTCTTTCTGAAAAGTTCTACCCTATGATTCAGAACCTACCCATACTTTAGCAACCAGGGGTTTATAACTTTCCTTCCTGCTTTGGGTGGTGTATAAAGAGCTCCATTTTTATGCAATATTTGCAGAGTATTAGGATTGAGTCCTTGGGCAAATCATTCACTTTCTCTGAGCCTGAGTCTTACCTGGGTGTGCTAATGCATTTCTGCCTTTGCTATTTATATTCACAGGGCTTGTGTAAGCATCAGAAAAGATAATGTTTTAAAAGCCATTTGTGAACATAAAATGCTGCATACATGTGTGTAGTCACTCTTGTTGACCTGTGGCTTCACTCCTGCCTCCTTTTTCTGATCCACTCCTGTCACTGACCCAATGCTGAGGAAACTGGACCTGTCCAACTTTCTAAAACAAGCCTTATTCCCAGGAAATTTATTTTATTTATTAAGTAATAGATTATTGTAAGGGATCGGGTTTTTGCTTAGAATGTACAGCTACAGAGCAAGGGTGCACCTGCACCGTTTGCCCACGGGGCTTCCTGAGAAGCATGGTGACGAGTTGTGTTTCCTTCCGTAGACTGACGACAGCAATGGGGACTTGGACCCAGGAGTCTTGCTGACAGCTCAGACCATCACATCTGAGACCACCAGCAGCACCACCACAACTCAAATTACCAAGGTAATAGAGAGCTAGAAATTCCTTCCGGGGTCCAGTGGCATGCCCAGCTTGCTGCCTCTCTCCGAGAAGCACCTTGGTCCATAAGAAAGGGGTTTCAGCCCCATCCCAACCGAGCCAAATTATTCCCAGTGTCCGGGGTGGGAAGGCCCTGCTTCTTTCCCCATAACCCAGGGAGACCTTGAGCATCCCTGCCTGCTGAGTGGTCCCATGAAGTCCCATGTGATTGTTCTCTTTACACATGGGTCTTTCTCTCTGGTCAGTGAGTCCCGTACCTGGCTATGGAGGTGAGTTTAAAAAGTCAATTTAAGGGCAGGTGTTGTTATTATTAAGCAACCATATTTTCCAAGCCAAAAATCAGAACTCAAGGTCTAACGAGGAATTTTTATTTTTATCCTGATCATGTCCAGGATCAAGGCCATGAGAATGGTAGTTTGGATGCTGAAATGTTGGAATTATTAAAATATTGTTTACAGGAGCCAGAGGGACAAAGTATCTAAAACTAAAACTACTTTCAGAAAATCAGGACAGTCCGTGTTTGCTGTAACACTAGAGGAAAATACATTTTCTTACAAGTAGGAGATCTAGATTCCTGACCAAGCTGCATCGTCAACACATAGGTGACTAGAAACCAGTTACTTAATGCGTCTAGGCCTTGGTTTTCCTCATCTGTCAAGTAGGGAAACCTTCCCACCCTGAGGGAATTATTTGAGAATCTTTTGACATTAGTAATATGAAAATGTTTTAAAATAAAAAGCCTAATTTCAAGCTGCATGACGTTTTTGACCATATTCTGATTTTTTTTCTCTTGAAAGTAATCAAAATATACATGAAAAGAGCAAAAAGATACACCTGTTTTGTTTACTCACTGAAATTCTGTGGTGTTTGGGAGGAAGAAAAAGGAAAAAGGAAATAAATAGAGAATGATGATTTTCTGTTTAAAGATTTTAGCAATACAAGGGAACAGAGGTGTGCTTATTTTAGTGGGTCCAGTCAGGATTTCGAACAGCTGCATGAGAAAGCTGTCCTATGCAGTACCCAGCAGCAGATTAAAATTTGTACTATAGTTTTCCGAATAATTTCTTGCTATTGTTTTGCAGTTTTGAGGTTTTTCCTTTCTTTCTTTCTCATATGATCACCTCCGTTTGTTTTCAGACTGTGAAAGGTGGAATTTCAGAGACCCGAATTGAGAAGAGAATTGTGATCACAGGAGATGCCGATATTGACCACGATCAGGTGGGAATGCCAAGGAGATTCTGGGCATGGGAGGGGTTCCGAGGCAGGACCACTGATGGATGCCAGAGTTGGCTTGCAAAAGACAACAGCTTTTTCTCCAAAGAGCCCCTTTGGCTACTCTAGCTTTTAATGGAAAAGAAGGACCAAGGGAATTAGACCTCAGAGGCCTGCAGGATGAAGGCCGCAGACTGGGGAAGCAGAGAAGTGTGACAGAAAGAACAAGCTCTTTAGACTCAAAAGACTTGTGTTCAAACCCTAGTTCTTACCGTGTTCTAGCTCTAACTCCCTAGGCCTCTGTTTCCTCATCTGTAAAACAGCATCTTCCTTCAAGGTGGTTGTGAGAATCAAGTGAGATACAAATGTACATCATGTGGCATGTGGTGGGAGCCAAGTAAATGGAGCTGTTGCTATTCAGGGCCTATCGTGTACCTAAACCTGTGCTGGAGACAGTGTATCAAACCAGGGTGTGGCCTCTATCCGCAGAGGGCTGTCACAGCTGCGGGGCCAGCTAGTGGGGACATAGTGTCATGGGCTGGAAATCAGGAGACTTGGAACTAGCTTTCTGTCCTAGATCTATCACTAACTTGCTGTATGACCTTGGGCAAATCACTTTACCTCCAATTTTTTTTTTCCTCTTCTAAAAGAGAATAGGTTGATGTAGATAATTTATGGGCCCTTCTGAGTGCTAAAATTCTGTGCTTTTATGTTAATTAGGTGCTAATTGTGTGCTTCAAGCAATTAGCAAATAATAAGGTCAGGATTAATGTTCCCAATTCTCTGCTGGGTGAGGTTAGAACAGTAAAGCTGCAGAGAAGAGGGGGTGGAAGAGACTGCATGCAAATGCTTCTGGAATCATTGACAGGAGTGCTGGAGCAATAGTTCTGTGGCCTTTATGCTGATGTGCTGAGTGCCTTAAAAAAAAAAAAAAAGGCTTGAGCTGCAGTGCTGGCGGTTCCCTTGGTAGCAGAGTTGAGACTTACAGTTGAGAACACTAGGCCCAGGGTCGCAGCAACAAGGCTGGAAAAGCTCAAGTGGGAGCCTCGCAGCCTGTTTGCCCCAGCTCCAGGGATCCTGCTGCGTTACCAGCCTGCGCCCACCTACTCGTCTGCTGTGATTTGGGCCCCTGCCATGTGCTCGGTCTGTGCTGGATGGCCAGAGCCGCGGGATGGGAAGGTGTTTTGGCTTCGGAGTGAGACAGACCTGGATTGAATCCTGACTGTGCAACTTACTGGTTGTATGCCCTTGAGCAAGTTTTTTTTTACTTCTCTGAGCTTTAGTATCACCACCTGTAAAATAAAGATAATTATAAGTTTCTTTCAGGGTTATTGTGACAAAGGGACAAGCACACTTGATAGCTCAGAGAGATGCTCCAGTGCCCCTCAGTTTCCAGGATACAAGGGACATACAGAAGGGATAAGACGTGATGCACTTGGATGGGGAGGGGACCACTTTAAGAAGGAGAAGTAGTGAGGTTCAGGCTGTCAGAGAGAGAGGTGTAGGCCAGAGTGACCAAAGAAAGGACTTGGGCTGGGCCTTGAAGCATGAGCAGACAGGCTGGGCAAACAGGATGAGGGAGGATGTGCAGGGGCCTATAGAGGTAGCGATTCCAAGAATGGCTTTCATGGAGTCAAGAATCCAAAACAGAGCTTTCCAACTTCTTCCCGTCCCTCCTAGAGGTAGTCATAAGAGCCAGGATCAACAGCTAGCTGGTCAGAATCTAGCTCGAGTCCTTTTTGATGGGGGACCTGACTCTGAGAATCCCATTGCCACCTTCCTCCAAAGGCTGTGCTCTTCCACCTTGGGGTACTCTGAGTGTGAGGCTCAGAGACTTGCAGCCCAAGGGGAGCAGTGGTATCATTACTCTTCTTTGACTTTCCCTCTGCTCCCTTCAGCTTTTCTAAAATGATTAAAACTCCTCCAGATGCTAAAACAGAGTCCTTGTCCCCTTCCTCTTCCTGCCGAAACTAAGACAGTGTGGTAATGAGGAAAGTCGGAGAGACTAAGTGAAAAATCCCCGTTGCATTGCTTACTAGCTGTGAAATGTTAAGTACTTTATTTAACCACTGAACCTCAGTTTCCTCGCCTATAAATGGAAATAATGACAGTACCCTAATTCACTGATTTGTTGTGAAGATCAAATAAATAATAATAAGTAATGTACTTAGGCCAGTGCGGGGCATGTCACGGACCAGCCCTCCCACTCTCCCTTCCTTTCTTCTCTCTTCTTTAGCCAAAGACATCTCTTGCTTTTCATAGTGTGCTTCGTTATTTTCCCTCCTGTCCCGAGCTTCCTAGTTACCCTACGCTGAATACAGACTTTGCTTTGTCCTTTAGACTCACTTTCTTGAGTGAATCCTCCCAGAGCCACCCAGGCTGTCACTCCTGAAATCCCTCTCTGATTCCTTGCAGACAGCTCTAACCTTTCCCTGTCTCTGTTTTCAGTCCAAGAGCCTCCCCTGTGCAGCACGGGGTGGGTAAAGTCATCATCACCTTGGCTTAGCTTAAATGCTGCCCTGGTACCACAGACAGAAAGATTGAATTTGCCAGAGAAATGGTGTCCTGTGACCCCTGCCTTCCTTCACCAGCCAGGCTGCTGTCTGCCTGATGAGCATGTTTCTGTCTTTCTCAGGTCCTTGTACAGGCCATCAAGGAGGCAAAGGAGCAGCACCCAGACATGTCAGTGACCAAGGTGGTTGTCCATCAGGAGACCGAAATCTCTGAGGACTGAGCTCAGGTATGGGTGGTTCTTGTGGGGTAGAGCCATCCCCCAGAGGTGTCCACCCTGGGACTCGATAAAATAAAGGCAGGGGAGGGTGATATGGGAGGTTATTAAGTATGGCTCCACCTAAAGCTCCTCCTGCCCTCAGCAGTGCCAGCATGATGGGTTGGAAGAGATACCCCAAGTGTGGATTAAACCTCACCCACCTCCTGAATCTTCATGCATCCTCCTGCTTTTCCGCCTCACCTCCCCCTGCTCTTCCCCCTGCTGCTCTGCTCTCTGCTGTCAGGTCTCTGAGTGAGACCTGGGAGAGCCAGAGGAAGAGAACAAAACCAAGAAAAGCAAGACCAGCCGAGGGGAAATGAGGGGATTGGGGGACAGAGAAGAAACGGCTGAAGCTCTGGGGCCATACTAGAGAGTGGAAGCAGGGTATCTGCTTTTGGGAGCCAGGGCTCCAGACAAATTCATGCCCCAAAGTAGAATCACCATGTAGAACAGGGCCCTGTGAAACCACTCAGACCCTGATTGTCCCTTGGAGCTGCAAAGAACTTGGCACTGGGACTGGGTAGCAGGCTCCTTTGCAGGATTTTAAAACTTTGCTGCTTTCTTTTCTCTAGGAACTATCCTATCTTCCCACCCCACTCCCTGCCCATCTCCCATCTGAGAGAAAACCAGTGGAATGATAAAGACGCTAACCTGCAATAGTGAGACTTCGGAATTTTAAGATGACTCTGAACCACCAGAAAATCAATTTCATTTTCTATGTGGAGTTTATACCAAGAGAGTCTTCTAGATATCATTGATCCTTTTGAATACCTTTTTCTATATTGTGATACCAGAATTCTCCAACTTTTCACTCTATGGACTGTTTTTAAAGAGCTTTTTGGTTTTTTTTATGGGGTGGTTTGTAACCCCTTCAGCCCAGCCTCTCTCCATTTATACTGACAGGGTCCACAGCATTCTTCGGGAAATCCTCCAGGGACTCTGTCAGCTGTGTTGGGGGCCAAAGCCAGCTTAATGGGGCTTCCCTGCTCCTCCCCTAGTTTTATACCCTTTAGATGACAGCAGAAACTTCATAAACCAGCCCTTTCTCAGAGCCAATGATGTGACTTTACCAGAACGTCAGGCAGGGCAGCTGCCCTGATCCACAGACCCCAGGAAAATGTCCCTGTCTGTCCCTTTGCTGAGGGTGGTTTTGGTGAGACAGAGACCTCTGCTAAGAATGTAGTATTGTTTTTCCTTCCTCCCTCCTGTTCTTTCTTTTTGGATCTTTAGATCAAAGACGTAAGACATTGCTTCAGATGTTATCTGATACTGTGAATGTTTGAACATATCCGTGGCCTTCACCTTCCTGCCCTCCCTCCCCTTTTACCTCATCAGAAGCAGTGGCTCTGCTAAGTTCTCTCCCCACCTCCCATCTCAGGAGACCAAAACTCACGGAAGAATAGGCACTTTTGGCCAAAAGCACTGATGGCACATTTTTAGTGGTGATTTGGAAAAAGAAAGTTAACAAGATTTTTAAAAAAGGTTTTTTAGTTCTGGGAATGTGTGCTTCACACAGGGGAATGGTGGGGTTTACCTCAGTCAGGTCCTGCTAAGAAGTATTTCCAGGAGACCACCCCTGGGCCTCTCTCTTTAATCCTGGGGTGATAAGGAAAGTGACTCAGAGAGGAGGTGATTATGGTCTTTGGCCCTTCTCCTCTCGACCAGCACCTGCCTGCAGATACCCTTTTGGAGCAAGGGAATTGGCTTTTAGGGGTCACCCTTCCCACAGAACCCCACTTGATAAGGGGCACAAGCATCAGCTCTGCCCATTCCCGTTTGCCATCTGAGGTCTGTCAGTTTTTGTGGCTTGATTTTTGTGGTGGGTTTGGATTTAATTTTTTTCTTTTGGTTTTGAAAATGAGGATTGATGTCCCCAGTTCCACTATTCCTGGTAAAGATTTGGGGGCATTTTTATTCAGTAGGGCTTCTCTAATCTTCCAGCTTGCTTCCCACAAACGTATCTGCCTGGAAGTCCTTAGAATCCTAATTCTAGGACAGAAAGCGAGCTTCCTGAGTGGGTCACAGTCAGCAGGCAGTCGCTGGAGGCTCCAGGACAGGGAGCAGGAGAGAAGTCTGTTAGCCCCGCTTGCAGCAGCAGGAGCCAGCAGCCTGTGTCCAGACCCTCTACTGACTGAGCTTTGTTTAGACAAACTTGTTGGTTTGAACTGGTTTCGGGTTTGTGCGTTTTTCTCTTAGTACCTGGTTACTAACCAACAGGTAGTTCCTCTGGTAGGGACAGGAAGAGCTCAGGTGGGATGTGTGACAGCCTTGGGGGAAGGAGAGTGCCCTGTCTCAGGGACGGCTCACAGCCTGGGGGCATGGGGTGCGGCATGAAGGGGCTCTCAGGTGGTGCCCAAGCCTGGGCTTTGTTGCCCCTGGCGGTGGCAGGCATATGACGTAAGCTCCCTTGCCAGTGGCCAGCTGTCCTGCTGGAACAGCTGCTGGAGCTCACAGAGCTGCAAACTGTGGAACGAAGACCGGGACTGAAAGAGGCGCAGCCTGTGCGTCAGGAACCTGGCACACTGTCTATTCTGTGCCATCCAGGTCAGTGTGACAGCTTTCACAGCACAGGACCACAAATCAGGGGGCCCGAACTTCCCCTCAATCTGTCACAAATTCACTACACTTCTCCCTGCTTCCTTGTCTATAAATTGGACCCAGAGATCTCCAATGCCCTTCCAGCACTGAGAAGCCATGATTTGGACAAGCCAACATGAGGGGGGTCCTTCCAAGCCTCTTTCCCTTTCCTCCCTCGCTGGTTACAGATCTTGGGATTTGGCAATTGTTTGGATTTTTTTTTCCTCCTGCAATTGTGCGTGTGCATGTGTGTGAAGAAAAACAGACTTTCTAGGTGGAAATGGTGAAGAAGGAAGAAGAATTCATTTCCAGGGTCAAAAACTTGGCAGCAGTTTCCCTAAAGTGACTGAGACACACCACAGTAACAACTCTTGCTGCAATTTTATTTTTATTTCACTTAAGAAATAAAGATTTCCTCCAAGCCACATGAGGTCTCTGCCACCTACCCACCCACAAAGCAGGACCTGAATTTATAAGCTGAGGGCCCACAGAGCCTGGCTACAGGGACCTGCCAGGTAATCTTTGCCCACCCCCCAGACCCCACTGTGTGTTCCGCAGGGCAGCTGAGGGTGAGGGGGCAATAGCCCACCTTGGGATATGGAGCCAGAGAATAGCCTGACCAATATCAAGGAATGCTCGTGGGAAGTATCTGCCCAGGATCTCAGCCCCAGGCTGGTTGGTTTTACAAATCTCTCTCAAATGTTTTATTTTGGTGACAAAAATGAAGGAGCTTTGTAAATTTTTTTAAAAATTATGAATCATATCAAGTAGTTGTTTACATTTCTTGATAAAATATGAACTGTGGCAGCAGAATCAAATTGGCAAAATTCTTAGATTAAATAGAAGGTAATTAGGTCTGCTGTTTTGGCCTTTTGTAGTAAAAGTGGTGGTAGTGTTTAGATGTATGTTTGGTCTTGCTTCTTGTATTGCATTTTTCAATAAATTAAAAAAAAAAGGACTGACTCTGTGAAGACTGATCAACTTTTAAAGTTCTGTTTCCCTACTGGCAACTTAGGAAAAATTAAACATGGGTCAGGGAGACCCAAATCCAAGCCCTTTTCTAAAGCTATCCACACTGACCAAAATGCAGCTTCAACATATAAAAGGATTTCTGAGAACTGGCAAATGCTTTTTGCCAACTGGAGGGAGCTGTCGTGGCCTAAGGAGAGAAAGGGGCTTCTTAGACAAGTCTGGGGAGGGGCCAGACTCTCAGTATGAAGGCATTGGCAGTAGTGTAGCCCTAGTGGGATGTATCCTGCATGGTTGAGAGAAGAAAGGGTTTGAAGTGGTGGGAGTTCAAGGCTCGGTCCCCATCCCAGATGGCAGTGGAGGGTCTCAATTCTACTCCACTGTATCTCAATTCTGCCCTGTTGCCCATCTTCCCAGAGACCGAAACCCCATCACTAGTGCCATCTTGGAGGGAGCCTGTCCCAGGCTGTAACATCACAACCTACCTTCCAAGTCTTAGGGTCCCTTGCCCACCACTTTGGATTTGCCAAGACACCAGGTACATCTCCCAGTCACCCTGGCCTGGACCTCCAGCTCCCTCTGGTACCTGTCCAGGGCTAAGGCCACTTTTGGAGGCTGAAGGAATTCCTGAGGCCGAGTCATGCTGGTCTCCAGATTCCACATTAAAACACATTCTCTCCAGCTTATTGAACCCTTGAGCAGTTGGCATTTCTCTGCCAATATGCAAGTCAGGATGCCTTAGCAGCTGCTGGGGCCAGAGCATCCATCCCCAGTCTGGGATGTGACCGAAGCATCTACTGGACGTTGGGACTCCTAGTCCTGTTTTGGTCCGTGCTGCAGCCTCATAGCAGGCTGTCCCCTGCAACTCTGACCCGGGCCCCCAAGTCCCCTCCTCCTCCCAATTTGGCATAGCCCCCCAGACTGAGGCGGTCCAGTCTTGGCCAGCTTCGGTGAGCACAGTCTCGAGCTGCTGGGGCCCCAAGAAGGAGGTCCCCAAGGCCCAGATCCAGAGACTTGGAATGTTCAATGCAGGAACCAGAAGGCTGCACGGTGATAATCACATGGCCAGTCTGGGTCCGGGGACCCCAGGGTGGGTGCAGCCCTGGACCCTTCAGCGGGTAACTGTTGAGCAGGGCAGGTAACCCCAAGCGAGGATTAGCAGGCTCCGAACGCAGGCTCCGCACTGACGGGACGGGTGAGGTACCCCGACGCGGAGACAGGTCCCAGCTTTCTGGCTCCACGCAGCCTATGGCTCGGGGAGTCCTAGGGCCAGGGCTGGGGAGGAGTGCGCAGTCCCAGCCCGAGCCGTCGGGGGGCCCGAGCGCCTGAGCCCGCAGCACCCCCTGGCGAAGCCGTCGCGTCTCTAAATCGCGGTTCTCGTAGAGCAGTGTGTTGGCGCAGATGAACACGAACAGGCCGACGCCCATAACCACGGGCCCAAGAAGCCGCAGCCGCTCGTGCGGGCCATGGGCCCGGC